AGTGGGAAATTAAATTCTTCCCACTTGTGTCAGATCTGCCCTTATATAAACACATTAACAGTAATTTCATGAGGCGTCAAACATAGGAATAAATACAGAGGGATAAAATAATGAGGTGTTGCTATTGAGCTGAACTGTTGCAGCTAATATTACTGCGGATGAATTCTGCAGCCTGCAAGAAGGCATATGTTACAGCTTCTTCGCCTGCTTCTTCTGATTGTTAAGTTTTGGGTCCCCTAGGTGAATCCATCCTTCTTCCCACTGCAAGGCCAGTGCACCATTTAAGTAAACACATAGAAACACACACACACATGATCATAGGAGGCCAAATTCATTCCTGACAGAATTCCAGTTAAGTCACTGAAGTTACACCAGAGATTAATTTTGTTGAATGTTGAATAGACATTCAATTCCATTTTTAGGATAATAGCACATTTATTAAGGTCTTTGGCTGAAGTTTTAAAGTTACACTAATGTAAACAAGAACATTTTGTCTGTAATTTGCCACATCTATTACAGCTTTACTAGGACTCCAATTAGAAACTTAAGGTTCATTTAGTACACACACATCTGGTACTGATTTAAAATTACTTTCCTTTTTCATCTGAGGACAGAAAATGACCTAAGTAGCCTTTTTACCCAGTTTGAACCAGCATTCTGTCTGAAAGTCAAAGACTCGACCGTTTAGCACACTGAACCCTCTTCCCTGGGGGCTGTTTTTCTCCCCTTTGCAGTAAAAAATGTGTGCAAAGGGCAAAGATGTACATAAATGAGCTATAAAACCAGGATGCACAGAAGCATAGTACTTACTAAGGAGATCATAAGAGAGGAACTAGAAAAGCCACTGAAAATATCCCTGCTCTATGGTTACAGCACTGAGGAGAATGTACCCCCACATATCCCTGCTACAGCTGCTTTCCATTCACAGCTTTATTAATCTGAACAGTTGGAGAAAACACTCACATTGAAAAATGAAGGAAAATGCCCAGTCCCTGCTTCTGCTCGGGTGTAATTATCGTACCGAATGCAGAATTTGAGAAGAAACCAAGACAAAGTCCACCATGTCCACTAAAGTCCCTTTAATTTCTAGACTCCTCCGTGTAGATAGGTTTGGACAAACCAAACCCAGACACACACCTGCGTTGTTTGCAAATGGCCCATGTATGCTCAGAAATGAATGGGAACAGTAATAGTGTATGACCCAAAAATGCAAATATCTTCATATGGTAAAATGAGAGTGGCAGTATGCTGCTATCTGCTTTAATCTAATAAATCACAATATTCTCACAGTAAGAGCATCAGAGTGTTACCTTCTTACTTCAGTAAGGCATCCACCATCATCAGTTCATAATAATGTTTCCTTCTTTTTGTCATTCAAATCCTATTTTCTCAAACCACATTTTCCTAGTTTATTCAACAGTTTGAAAAACATATGTGGTACTTTCACAAACCCTTTCAAGCTACACTCTAATATGTCAGGTTATCAACATTTTTTTTTTTGCAAAGGCTTGAACATACATATACTGCCCTTAGGTTGTGACTGTACCGAGTTTCAATGATTTTATTTATTCTGTGGTCAACAATAAACAAGAAGAATTCTATGCCTTTCAGAAAAAGCTGGGTCAGGTTGTAGGAACAAAGAAGATTTCATTTTGGCATGAAAACATAAGGTTATTCTTCTTTCTCAATAGCTGCATTATGTTCTACTTTCTGATTCATTTATATTTACTATTTAAATAGCAAAAGGAGTTCCAATTCAGGAAACATAATTTGGAAACATAATTCTATTTAAATTCCAGAATAAGCATTAGCTTCCAAAACATAAAAGCCAGAAGCTTTATGATAATTGAATCCTTTTCAGCAAGTATAATTCATCAATAAAGTATTCCTCTAATGATGTTATTGTTTCTTTATTTAACTATTTTTGAATTTCTGAAGTTTTTTCAATGCCAATTTCCAAATGCTACATTAATCATTTATATTTTTAGAGTCCAATTTTCCTACTAGAGACATAGGCTTCGTAACAGCTACTAATGCTCTGGATCTGAAAAAATCATGCCTTTAAAATACAGGCTATCTAGTCAGTTAAGATGTCTTGTAGTCATTACTTTGTACTATTAGATCCCTAATGGAATAAAGAATGAGTTTAAATTTATTCTAGAAAATAGGATTGCCAAATTTTTAAACAGGGATGATCTTTTATTCTTTTTGTACAGTGCTGGAGTAGAAAGGGCCTGGACCTGGAGTTTCTACAATGTGCTTAATAGATGATAATGAATAAACAAAATGAGCCAAAGAGCAACAAAGATACGCTAACCCAAACTCTTGGGACAACTGGCTTAAAAATCTAGTTGCAGTCATTTTTTCATGAACATGTCACGTGGATTCCATAACACATCATTCTGCTGGGTTCCAACTTAAATTAAGGATGACAGAGATAAGGAAAATAAATTTTGTTCTGCTGTTCCAGTGCAGGACTTATTAAATTATTGGTTTCAACCACATAGAGGAAATCCAAGTTAAAGCTGGAAATTTTACGGGTTTATGCACTTTTTCTGAAACAGAATTCTATGGGAAAACTTCAATTTTCTGCTGGTACTACTATTATGCCAAGTTCAAAGGAAATGTGCATTTTAGAGTCTTTTAGGTCCATTACATGGTCTTGGACTATCATTCACGAAGTCAAGTTTTCTGCTTTGTAAGTGGAGCAAATATTATGGAAGGAAAAACTGCACCACTGCAACAGCCACAAATCAAGGGTCATGATGAAAAAAGGTGGAAAAAACCAAGCACAAGATCTTGCATGATGTCATCACTAGACAAATGTAAGATGAAGTAGATTAACAAAGTCTTGAGAAGTTCAAGTCTCTGCCTTTCACCATTTCAGGAAAATTTGGATCCACAATCCCTCAAGCATGCAAGATAGATCCAAGATACAGCTCTAACTACATGGAGCACTCAACAACATGTCATCAAGGATGTAAACTTGGTCTTTGCTGGACATATTAAAATAAGGCAGAAGAAAGAGACAACACAACGAAATAACCCTAATGTGGCAGGCCAAGTGAACTCTTTGATCCCTGTGTTCAGAAAGTTACCCTTCCTCCAGCTAAACTTTCCAATGGTGGGTATTAGACAGAATAAGCTTTTTTCTTTCTTTTTTTTTTTTAGTTAGTCAATGAGTGCCAAATCTTGATTCTTATTACTCTGTTATCTTTAACAGGGATCTAGATGTACCTACACCATCCAGTTATTAGCAAAGTAAACCTTTTTTTTTTTTAAGTGCAAATGATTTTACCTACCAAAAAATCATAGTAATATTTTCCTTTTAATTCTCAGCCTTATTAACTGCAATCGTGTAATAATAATACGCTCAGTATGAATGAATGAGATGTAGTTTTGTTCCAGTACTTTTCCTCTCTCTGTGCTGACATCAGCCCCCACCCAGGTCTCTCGCAGCCAATATAACTCTCACTCAGCACACCCTTTCCCTCCATACCTGTTCCTTTCTTAAAGTTCTGATTTCTTTATCTACCCAATCCATTCTGTTGGCAGTTAGCAAAAATGCAACCAATAACAGCAGAAAAGCAATGACATGCTACAGCGAGGATGAATGGTATTCACCAACCGTCACTATAGAAATGTGATGAGCTTCCAGAGTTGCCCATTTTTACATAGCATCCAGCTGACTCAGGGGGATTTCTGCAAAGGTTCAGATCCAGCTCTGCCCACCTCGCTGCAGAATCAAGGTCTTTCCAATGAAGACGGAAGTAACGACCGGATGCGATTTCCAGAGCCCACATATATGCTGGAGTATCCCCCAGAACACCACCAGTTTGCCAGGGTCCTCTCTAGGTCTCCTTGGGTCAAACATCTGTAATCCTTTCATAAAAGCCAGATGGTTCAGGACAAGATGTGAGCCCAGCTTCCCTTCTGGCATCGTGGGCCAGGGAAACACCTGGAACTGGGAGCTCAGATATATGTCAGGTCCCACTGCAAAGATACTAGTTTTTGGCAGCAAGCTCTTCCTACACCACGCTGTCACAGACAGGGAAATGCCGTCATAAAATCCTAGACCCACCAAGCTGAAAGAGGGCAGATTTAGACTAGACATTAGGAAGAAATTTTTCACTGTGAGGGTGGTGAGGCAGTGGCCCAGGTTGCCCAGAGAAGCTGTGGATGCCCCATCCCTGGAGGGGTTCAAGGCCAGGCTGGATGAGGCTTTGGGCAACCTGGGCTGGTGGGAGGTGTCCCTGCCCATGGCAGGGGGGTGGAACTCGATGATCTTTAAGGTCCCTTCCAACCCAAACCATTCTATGATTCTCTGATTCTAATTTCAGCATAAAACAATCCTAAATATAATTCTAAAGCTTGTGTCACACCCCAAAACTAAAAAAACCTGTCTTTTAGTGGTTTCATACAGATAACCCCTTCCTGAAACAAAGTCTCTGAGCTACAGCACATTTTGTACCTGTTTTTGTTCTTCTCCTAAGCCATCCCACATTGAAGCTACAATTTTAGAGACTTCACCAAAAGTAGCGTTGGGGTTTTGGCCCTTGATGGCTGCTTGAGTGTCTCGAAAGAATAATGCATAGGCAGACACCGGCTTCTGTGGCTCATTTGGGTCCTTCTTCTTCTTCTTTTTGGGAGTTTTAGGTTTCTTTCCCATATCTGAAGCAGGTCTCTTCTCTCCACCGTTGACCTGTAACACAAAATTAGAAAAGCACTATTAAAAAAGCCAATTTAATTCAGTCCATCCATCGTTACAGCTTCTGTGATGTCACAGATTTTGCATGCAAAAGTGGAATTTTAGTTGCCATCTTTCATAATCCAAATGTTGACACCATCTGACTTAGTCACATGTACAAAATTCATAAGTATTCCAGATTATGTTAATTTTCCCTCAAAGTGCTTTATATTTTGCTTTTGTATAATGGCTATAATCTCTTTTATAGTTCATCTGGTCATCTTCTCACCTCTTCTAAGTTTTATCGCTAATGGCTACAACATGCAAGTAAGAAGTAAATCAAAATGAAATGAGTTTCATTATAGCCTGACGACCAGTTCAACCACATGAACCACCCGCAGACTGCAGGAACATTGTCTTTTCTACCTTTTCCTTATCCTCACCCTTCCCCAGAACTACTCCAGACTGGTGTTCAAATCAATTTCTACTGCAACTGGTGGGAAAAATCCCAGAGAATTTGAAGAGAATCTGATTGTGAATAAAATTATTCAAGTTATAGTCATTCCCCTGCACAACTTCTAATTAAAATCTGTAGAAACAAAGCTTTCCTAGTGCACAGTTTAGACCCCTTTGGAGGATCAGTTCCAATCCAGCTGGATTTAGCTGCAGAGTTTTTTTTAATTCTGCTCGTGTAAAAGTAAATGGTTTGAGGAAAGGAGTGAAAGAGCGTATGAAGTGCATGTGCATTATTTGTGTATCACCTGAAAAAAAACTGCACATAAGTATTTGTGCAAATTTGCTAAATGCAAATACGCTTTGTCACTGAATAGCTCAAGAGACCCTGGTCACCAAAGCCCCCTGCTTTCCTAGGTGACTTACAAGCACGTAAAGGGACACTGGCCTGTTGTTCAACAGACTGGAGCTCCACGACAAAGCAGCTTCTCTTGCTATTATCACTTATTTCACTACACCTGTAGCAATGAGTGGGATCTTGCCAGTGGGTTCAAAGGCTTTATTCTCTTGCTGGCATGGCCAGAGTACTGATTTTGCAGATGATCAAGAGCATAAAAGGTATGATCTAGGCTAAGGCTCTACAAGGTGCGATTTTTATCACATCCTTGTATTATTACTTTTAATAGTGCATAATAAATGACACAGGACAACACACGTGTTCAAATCAGTGGAACTGCATGAGAAAAATGTCTAGAAATTTGCATTTTGTGCAAAGAACTTTTTTTTTATATATATACACATGACTGTGTGGTGTCTGACAGGGCCCAGGTTACTACAGTGAACAACCCTGATCTCTGCAGCTTACTAAGCACAACAACAAAGTGATGATCACAATTTGAAAACGAAGTTGCTTGCTTATGTTACAATAGATGCATCTTTAATATAAGGGTAATGGACATGGAGCCTATTGGCAGCATTTTGGAAAATATGGAAAAACAGAAGCAGTGTGCCACCAGTTATTAAGTTATCCAACTTTTAGTCTCTTGCTATTATTTCATTCTACCAGCTAAATGGCAATTAACGAGGGCTCCCTAGTTAATTTGGCAAGATCAGTCTAAACTCTTCAGACAGTTCAAACTCCATGAGTAAGGAGGCTTGACATAATTTGGGCTATTGTTCAAATTTTACCTCTGTTATTTGCTAAAGTTTTCCTCTTTTCAGAATATTTTTGGGCCAATGAGATTTAAAAGTTCTCTGTATATTAGAATACCACATGACTTAAACTACCCTTAACCTAGGTGATATGCAGCAGACATTGTGTAAGGAGTCTTCTGATAAGCTGTTCTGAGAACAGGTCGAAAATCTTCTCCAACCTGAATGATCAAAAGACTTCAAAAGCCCACTGTTAAAAGGAGAGTACACACGGGGGAAATTCTGTTTGTTTTCTATGAAAATAACGAAATAAAAAGAATACCAGAATTCCAGTACTAATAACCTTGCAAATGGCTGAGATGATGGCCTACCTTATGCTCCCATCAGTCTATCAGCTTCCTAGACCCCACTTCTAACCACCAAAGCAGAGACAGATGGGAAATAAAATAAAACCCATATATATTCTGCTAGGCATAGACTTGTGCTTTGAAATCCCTGGAGGTGTAGTTAGCTCATGGTAATCCACCTCCTGTCATGGCTTATTGCTTAATTATGGTGATGTATTTAACTTATTTATCACAAGAAAGCAATAATCCTTCACTTTAAAAAAGTGTACATTAACCATGTTGCACACATAATAGATCACAAGAATATCTAGTGTAGGATTTAAAACTATCAAGTAAGGCACATCGTTGATATCTAAATGTCCCTTGAGAAGCTGGAAAATGTCTATAAGCATACTTAAAATAAACTGCAATAGTACCAAAGCCTTTAATGGAGCTAGGAGAGCTGTTTTATGCACACTACACTGCAGTAATCGCTGTAGTTTAAAATAGATTTTAATCAAGCACCATCTGCATAATAGGCTGAACAGAAAACATAGAATTCTACTTATAACTCTTATCATATAAAGTAAATATTGTACAATCTCTACCTCATAAAGAGAAAATGCTGCAGTAGTTGTTTACTAATGGTGTTTCTGTTCGTTAATTCTTGCTACTTCCACTCCTCTGACTCTCTTCCCTCTAAAATATATAACTTAAAATTCTCTCATAAATGACATTCAAATGAGCATGGAAGAAGTCCCTGTTATCCATCTAGGAAGAGATACATATTTGCAAACCAGAAATACTTCCAGCAGCTCACAATTATGCTTGGCAATAACTGAACACAAGTTTAATGATCCAACAGTATGAATTATGGCAAGAACTACATAAATGTAATATTCCCATGTTGAGGGGGTCAGAATAAAGCATGTAGTAAGTGGCTACGTTGTTTAGAAAGATTGTATAGTTGCTTACAACTTACTGATTTGTAAGTTTTCCCTTTTTTTCTTCTAACCATAGTCCCGCATATTAGATTTAGAAGAATTAAGGAGACTTAGGGACGTACACCACTTGCAGAAACAATATCCTTGGTCTGAGACTACATTTCATATTTCCAGAGATCTATCAGATTTCTGACTGTAAATTCATTTTTTTTGTGCAAGGGAATATATGATGTTTGAAGTCCAAGAGGCCTACATGGAAGCCTTTATGAGAATGAGTATTGCCAAAAAAATATTTAGCAGCGGCTGCCATTAGTGCTGTGTATGTTCGATAAGGTCTACAACAATCTGGATATCGAAGAAGCTCAGTCCATGAACAATTACATCAGTTCGTAAAGTTTACTTATTACTGGCTTTTGGGATATGTACGTTGAGCTGAAATGGTCATTTGCTCCATGCATGGAAATCAGTGGTTCCCTAGGGATACAATTATATTTGTAGTCCAAATGTACATAACATACACATTTGTTTATACCTCCTGTCATCCTCTTTCTATAACTTCATGCAAACATGAACAGGACACTGAGATTTCTGGTATTTTTTTTTTTCTTTTTTTTTTTTTTCTCCAGATAGTTGTTATGGATGTCTCTATCAAACCTGCTATCAAAGGATGAGTGGCTTCTCTTCCACATGTGGGGCTGGGCGTTCAGCTGGTATCAACTAAGGGAGGTTGTCTGACACTGAGGTGTTTTTCCATTTGGAAATGTTCTTTGTCTTTTTCATCAATGTTGGCACAAAGGCAAACATCTTCTCCTGCTGTTTAAATAGGTAGAACGTCACTGTTGCTATTAACGATACAGTGAATTCAGTCCTCGTGGCAGGAACATCTCCCTGACTTCATGAAGCTGCTCAAATGTGGCCTCAAGTTGCACCAGGGGAGGTTTAGGCTAGATATGAGAAAAAATTTCTTCACTGCAAGAGTGCTCAGGCATTGGAACAGGCTGCCCAGGGCAGTGGTGGAGTCACCATCCCTGGAGGGGGTCAAGAAACGTGTAGATGTGGTGCTTGGGGACATGGGTTAGTGGGTTGGGTGGGGTTGGGTTGGACTTGATGATCCTTGAGGTCTTTTCCAACCTTAATGATTCTGTGATTCTATTCTATGATTCTATGAGTTCCAGCAGCTACTACATGACCGCAACACATGCGCTTCTACTGAAGGACTGAAGAATGAGCTGTGGCTCTGACCTATTAAGTAATATCACACATCTACATGACAGCTTACCAAACAAAGCAAATGCCAAGTTTAGCAAAGTTACACTCAGGTAAAAGAGGGGTTCTCACAAGGGACAGAACAACTGGTCTATCTCTTCCTGTCCCCACCCAGTGGACTGGGAGGAGGATTTCCTGCGTGAGAAGAAGCCTCTAAAGAAGCTCTGAGAAATTTAATGCTTTTGTGGCTGGGGAAAAGGGTCTTCACAGAAAGCTGATTCATTATATTTATTATCTATATCCATTCATTGGTAGCTTCCAGGAAGAGCAGTGTAACAGAAAGAGACACAGAGGAGGGGGTTAAATCATAAACTAAAGCATCACAGTAGCTTCTTCCCTGTTGTCTTTTCCAGAGGGAACTACAGCAGAACTCTTGCACTGGACCAGGTGTGGCAGCCCACTGCCCATCTCCAACGGTGGCCAGCTTCAGGCACTGCCATGAAGACCTAAGAAATCCCACAGAAGACAGGTATGGCAACATCTGCGCGCCCATCAAGCTCGCAGTTTAAACCCTACTTTTTGGAGAAGAATTTAAGCCCTCTGTCATTATTAACCAAATTTAATATCCTTTAAAACATTCCTCTTCATAGAGAAATTATAATTATTGAATTTGAAGGCAACATATCAGCTTCAGCATACTGAATTATTTTTCTTAATTTTGTGTTGTGTATTGTGCCTTTTCTCGCCTTTTTCTCCTTAGACTGAGCATGAGAGAATTGTAAAGAGAGTTCCCAAAATAACATGGCTTCTTAAAAAGCTGAATACTACATAAACTGGCTTCCACAAAGAAGGGGCCAAGTTTTACTTGGTCTGCTGTGCTTAGCATTTCTTTATTGAAAACATTAGCTTCAGATGAGTACTGTCTGCAGGAAACCACAACCCTACACTTCTGCTAGCACGAAGAGTTGCAGTGAAAAAGTACGTGAAAAATATGGGTTAAATAACTGAAATATTTGATAGAAGCAGAAAGAATATCTTAATTATTTCAGTGGATGTTTCTCCAGAATTTTAGAGCATCTTGCACGCTCCCATCCATATATGTAAAAGTATTAGCATAGGAACACGAGTAGTAAATAAATTATTCTGAAAAAGTAAAGGCTGCCTGGAATTATTTTTATACAGCTGTATTCTAAAGTCTCCCTCAGTAAGGAAATGCTCATTTAAAATGTATGAATTATTCAGTAATGTTTAAAACCTAAAGTTTGTGAAATCAGGGGAAAGTCCTGAAATAAAACTTCTGAAGCAGAATTTATCCAAAAATGTAGTAAAACATATGTCTCCAATTACATGATTATTTTATAGCTTGAGGCATGAAAAACAATATAATTTGAAAACAAATCAGACTTACATTACTTGACTGGATTATACCTCCTCAGTGACTCACAATATGTTTTCTTCACATTCCTTGCAAGTCTGCAACTTTTGCCCACAAGATATGGCTTTGGTACAATGCCTTCGTTACACTACAGGACTGCTGTAACAGGACTGCTATGTTGTAGTGGCCATAAAATAGTACTGAAGAGGTTCTCAACTGCAATATGCTCTATTCCTAGGTTACGGGATGACTTTGTGCTAAGTCCCAATATTTTTTGTGTCTCAGCTTTTGTGGCTGCAAAATTAAAATAATACATTTCTTTATTTTTTGGGGGGATTTTGGGAGATTTGGGAAGTTTTTGCATGTAAAACCTGCTATATAAATTGACCTTTAAATACATTTATTATGTTATTACTTCATGCCTGTACTGACATTAAAATGAAGCTTAAAGATGTCATGATGGAGTGTTGGCACCTCCCAAAGTATAAATGCATAATGGGTGTTCAGGATTTGCAAGGTGATTTTTAAAGTTTGTAGAGGATCCTTCTCTTCTGGATGCTATGATGTTGTGTTTACTCATCCTGTGACCAAGTAGCAAAGACTGGCATATTGTACAGGCTGCTCGTACTTTTTATAGCAGTAACCTGATCCTTCACTGGGAACAAACATCCCCTCTATGCAAGTGAGAAAACCCAACATTTGTATTAAAGTCCTAAAGGAATGGCTTTCCTTTGAGTGTTTCACAGGATTCCGCTTTGCTCTTGTGAAGAAGAATTATGTCATTTACTCGAGCTGCCTGCAGAATTGCCTGGAAACTGTAAGTTCTGTATTCATAACCCTTTATTCACTTCAGTCAACCACCAACAACGTGTAAAGCATCACCTTCAGAACTGTGGCCATACCATTCATTGAGCAGGTCCTAAAAACATCCACCGTTGACACAGCAATCCTAGCATCTAAGCCTACCTTAGAGCTATCTTCTCCTTCATCTTCATGGACTGAACTGGATGGTGAAGGAGTTGCAGATTTGCTTCCAGGTGGAGAGGGCGAGTTGTGAGGAACATTGTTTCCGCCCATATTCAAACCGAGCTGTGCACTGAGCTGGGACTGGTTAATAGTGGTCAGCTGCCCGTGCTGCATCATTCCTGGCTGCCTAATGTCTGCAGGTTGAACCCTTGGCCTCATGGTTGCCATCTGAGGATGGGAACTATACTGAGTTCCTTCTGTATTCCGTAAATCTTGCATCTACAAGAGGAAAAAAACTGCATTAAGCATCTCACTAATAAAGTGCTCTGTTTAGACTTCCGTGTGCCTGATCGGCTACATAAGGTTTAAAAGAAACAGCAAGTACTGAAACAAACACGTCAATACTGGAAATAGACAGAATAAGGATATGATTGACATTTGCATAACACTGACTGTTATAAACCTTTCAGGCTTTAGCCTCAGCCCATGGGAATGGCAAAAAGCAATGAAAGCTTGCTTCGTTCTAAGGGGAACAAAAGGGCATTGCTTTCTGTACCGGCATCTGGAGCATTTCAGAAATGCTAACCAACAGGGACAGGTTTGCACTCCCAAGTTCAGAACCAGATCAGAACATGAATATTCTCAAAATTCAAGACAATTTCCAGATCCTACTATTCTCCTTAGGATTTTTGTGTGTTTGAGCTGTGAGTTTGAACATCCAGTGTTAGGTCCAAGTCTATTTTTCCTGGTGCTGCCCAGCGAGACGCTGGAATTTTCAGGATTCAGATGACTGGCAAGAAGGATGCATTGACAGACTGATTAAATGATTTCTGAGTTGATTTGCTGCTAAGACATATATGAAGGGAAAGCTTGGAAGTCGCGGGATTGACAAACGAATCCATTGTGCTATGTGGGTCAGCGCTTCTTGCATTAACGAGACATACGATTTTAATGCAAGCGACAAATTCAGTTTCTGCAAAGATAAGAATTAAAAGCACTGGAGGATGAAGCTCCCTTCTTGTCCAGAGGTCAAATGTACTATACACACACACACTGCAGCAGATTGCCTATAACATCTTTTCAGTACACTCACACAGAAACATGACAAATAGCAAAGAGTATCAGGGAGAAGCTCAGGTTTAAGCTAGGGTGTTCTGTGGGTGATTTAAAATTGAAGTGTCAATTCAGAGCTGGAATGAAATAGATATAGTTGTCTTTCCGTGCATCAGCCAAACACGCCGTATGTATCGAGTGGAATCTGACAGGAGCTACCATTGTGGAAGTTCCATTCTGATAAAGACACGTGTTAATGGTTCAATATATTAACATAACCCCATTTATTCTACTGACAGTCTTTGTTAGACATGTCATTTGAATTGTCTGAAGATCGCTCGGATTTATTTTTTTAAAAACTTTTTATAGCTCATTACTTTACAGCCTGTCTCTCTCTCTTATGCACAATCCCATATATCACAACAATCTGTAAGATACCTTTCAAGCAGTAACACACAGAAAAAAGAAAAGATAAACCTTTATCTTCACCTTTTCTCTTATTATTGATAGTGTAAAAAATTACCAATTTTAGGGAGACACTTTATGAGCAGGGGACTGATTTTTGTAAAGCTGGCTGGTTGGCACTGAATCAAACTAATAATACCATTAATTATGGCATACTTACCACTTTACAGGTACATGTGTCTCTGAAAAGTAGTTGAAGTGGATTCTAACAATGTGACATCACAATTACACCTGTATTTTTATATATTGCTTTTGGAATTAACAGCTTTTGGTAAAAAAGGATTATCCATACAAACATGTTCAAGTTCATTTAATGACTTACTAAAGCACTGGAGGAGATGAGCAGAGACAGTGCAGCGTATGAAATCAATTGAAGGCTGAAATTTCAATCCTGGCAGACATTTATATTTTTTTAAAGATTGCTGCTGACTTCTTCTTCCCTTCCCTACAGTACCAGCTCCCCTCCTCGCCAAACAGATCAGCCCTGAAAGCTATCATTATCTCTGCCTCTAGCAGACAACCCGTGTCACAACAGTTGTGCCCGGGAAGCTGCAACCGCTGCTCGCCCATTTCGCTCCCCATCCAGCTGTTGGGCTGGGCGGCAGCTGGGGAAGGTGGTGCGGGAGCGGGGGCAGCCCCAGGTCCTCCCGGCCAGCGTGGCTCCCCAGCCGCTGCGTGGGGCGAGCGCGCGGTGAGCGGGCAGGGGATGGAAAAAGCCCTGTTTGGGTTTTGTGGGACAGCACCTTGTGGTGCTGGGTCAGGGCTGGGAAAAAAACCCTTCACCAAAGGCTAGAAAGGCAAGACTGAGTTTTAATAGGAATATGCATCCTAGTGATGTTATGAACTCCAGAAAGGAAAAAAAGTACTATTTTAGTACTCAACTCTTTTGGTATTTGGAATGAATTTGCAAAGTATCTACCCCAGTGAATGCAGGGCAAAGGTCGTAATTTTAATTACTTTTTCCCAGGTAAAATATAATACACTATTCAAACGATCTTTATTAAAATCTCTTTATATGAGATTCAAATACTATCAGATAGATACTGCAGAACATTCTGTGTTTGTCATCTTTAAACAACATATATTTTTAAACACTTCTAGCTCCATCCCTGAACAGACATTGTGTTTTCAGATAATGTGACACCAGTGGGACGGTACTGGACATAGCCCCATACAAAACACATGTATATATACATTTGCAAGAGAACCCCTCACTAGTGAAATTCTGAGGACTGCAAATGAGGTGGTGCAGTAGAAAAAAGAACCACCGTATTTTCCTTATTGTAGGGATTCAGCTTGTCTTCTGGATTTTTAAACCAGATGAATACCAGGCTACCTGTACAAAACCAGAAGAAAGCAGCATGGAGACAGCTTGTTTAACAGTACATGCTCCTTTTTAGATGCTAAGCCAGAAAGCCTCACCCAAGGGACCTGCCTGCAGAGAAAGGTGTCACCTGGGAACACACCAGCGTAAGCCCATCGCAGAGAGCTGCGGTCCTCAGCAAGGAGGATCCACGTGGCTCTGCATCTGCAGATGAGATTTCTGTCTTGCCTCCCCGCCACGCACCGCAGAGCCTGCCTTCCCCAGTCCTGCCCCTTCCTGGTGAAAAAGCGGGATTGTCTAAGAAAATGGAAACTGCTCGTTCCTGGAGTAAGAACGGGCAGCTAGCCACATAACTGTGAAAAGCTACGAGATTACACTGGGGAAAGCGTGTGACAACGAACCTTCAGGTTCCTAAAGGATCAACAAACCAAGAACTGTCCCATCTTCCCTGCTGGGTTCAAGAACAGCCCCACCCATGAAAACCACACGCTTGGGTCCCTGCAGTGATGTGACAGTACATCCCCGTTTCAAACAACCCCGGCTTTGCAGGAACAGCGGCACTGATGAGACTTGCTCTCTGTCAACATTACATACGGAGTATGACCGATTCCTACAGACCTCCTCAATAGCAGAACCTTACTGTTCCTTGTTCTTCCAGATGGAGTTTTACCAAACCTGCCAATGCGTAGCTGCGCTGGAGCCATGTCCAGCATGCAGAATATGTGTGTGTTGCGAACACACTCTTGCAGAATGCGAAGCTGAATACAAATCCTGCTGGGTGGCAGAGTGCCAAATGGAAGAACCAAGTTAAAGGGTTTGAGTGTTAGAGAGGATGAGGACAGTCTTAAACTGACGCCTTCAGTGGTGTCTCTGATGAGGTAATAATGATAATATCTGGCACTTCGATATCATGCTCCATCTGTCAGTTCCAGGGTGTTTCACAACTCGTGTTATATTCAGCTTTAGAACATGCCCGGTTTTATTTTAGTTTTAATAGTGGGCAAGCTATGATACATTTCCTTTCATGGCTATTTTTTTTTTTTCCAGTTTTTCTGTTTGCACTTCCCTAAGTGCTCGACTGCAAGTTAAAAGACACAGTAAAAGCTGCTAGTTCTGAAGTATGTGCCAATAACCCCTCCAATAGGTGCATGTTTAGTGCAAAAAGCAGAACAGGGTTGTCTGCCTGCAAACAAGCTCCTGCTCAAAGCTCCTAAGGCAGCAAGAATAAAGCTAAAGTGCTCTAAACATCAGACCATCATTCTCCCCATCAGCTTAAAGCAAAACCAAAGCAAAGCATGCAATGCAGAACACAGCGCTATCATCCCCGCACACAAACATTTGACTGCAGGACGATTTAAGTACAGTATCCTGATCACAGAAAATGGTGCTAGAAGGGACCTCGAAAGGTTATTTAGTCCAACACTTTATCTCACAGCAGGATTAGCTACACCTAAATCATTTCTGACAGATGTTTGTCTAACCTCTTCATAACCTCCCAAGGCAATTCTTGTGCTTAACTATCCTTACAGAGGAAAGGGCTTTTTTCTGTAACGTCTCACCTAAATCTCTTTTGTTGTAATTTAAACCTACTACATTTTTGCTCTACTCCCAGTGGACATGAGGAATGTTTTTCTCCTTCTTTACAGAAAAAGGTGTACATAGAAGGCTATTATGAATTTCTCTTCTGTTTTTTCTCCTTTAGACCAAGCAAGTAGACCCGAAGACTTTTTTCACGTACTGTGTTTTCTACACCTCTGATCATTCTTCCTGATGTCCTCTGGATTATGTCCAATAACCTTCATCTTTCCTGAAATACTGTTCCCCAAAGTCCACAAAATACAGATATTCATATCTGACACAGCGTTCAGATAGAATCCTTCATCTCTCACAGGATATAGCCTACAGCATTAAAAAAACCTCTAATTATATTTTTTGATACAAGCAAACCCATCCGAGATGCAGAGAGAGATACAAATTGGAGGGTTCTTAATTAACACCCCAGAAGATGGCTTTAGGAAGCAAATAACTTTTTACTAAGAAGCATTAGGCAGGCAGTTTCAAAAGGAATGTCCCGTTAGCAAATTAATTCCCACATTGTTTTTCTTGCTGTAATTAAGAACTGTGATGCAACATCCGTCTCCAAAGCCATAAAAGTCTGAACTGTCCATCTCTATTTGAAAGAAGAAAGACAAGTTGCTTTGACTGACTGAAGTAACTACAACAGGTCTAAGTACAGGCAAGATGTGCTGGGGATTATCCTCTGGAGATGACAACATTAAAACACAAGGAGAAATACATGGTGCTCACTCACTGAAGCAAGTGGAGATCATGTATTTCAGTACCTTGGGCAAATTCATATCAAGGCACAGCAGGCTCTATTTCTGTTGCCACCACCAGGTCTTACCGGGATTTTTTCTCAGTCTTCCACTAGCTGAGAGCTCTTATGAACT